ATGTTTAATAATTAATTTAATGAGATGGTTGAAATTGCATGTATTATTAACTAGCCTCAAAATTCACGGGTGAGATTTTGTTAACGCCAACCTCATGTCATTCTCAACATTTAATTTATTCCTCTCAAAACTCTCAACACATGTTTCAATCAACTGTGACAGAATAGCGTACCCAGATTACACTTATTTTAAGTTTTAAAAAATATATGAAATTATTCAAACTTCAAGACACCATTAAAAATAAATATTGCATTATAGTGAAAATTTTTTTTAGTTTACTGCATAAGTTGGCAACCCCACAGAAAACCCGTTGCGACTTCCTTCTGGGTTGCGACCCATAGGTTGGGAACCCGTGAATTAAACAATCAAATTGTAAATAGTAATTCTGACTCAGTGTCCAAAGCACACCACATGACCTTCTCGACCCCTCATCTGTCCAGACAATCACACCTTGTCAGCAAACTTCACAAACAGGGAAAGTATGCTGATCAGTCAAGAAAGAACCCCGTAAGATTTTTACATCCTTAGATTCTGAATCTTGAAACATCAAGAAAAGAAAAAGAAAAAAAATAATAATAAATAATAAAATGGCAAAGTTTTTTAAATAAAATATAACAGATGGTGTCACATGCAGTTTTAAATGTTGTTGCCAGGAAAGTTACACAACTCGTTGCCGGACTTTTTTTAAATAAAATTTTTCTCTATTACATGTAAATTATGTTATCCGACATCAAAATTGCACGATGACTTCAAAAACTATCGCCCAAATAAAATGAAACATGATATATTTCCATTTACTCAAAGAAAAAAAAAAGGATTTCTAAATGTGCTGCTTTTCTGGCAATAATCAGAATGATGACAATTTATTTTATTTAAAATGTTTGTTACATCATCTACAAGTAAAGTGATCTGTACAAATTCTTGAATTGGTTGTATAATCTCTGGCTTAGGTAATTTTATATTTGTGAAAAATATGACACTCACGTATTTGAAGTAATAAAAATATTTTAAGACAATAACGATAGAAAATTCTAAGTATTATTATTTAGTATTGCCCGCAATTTTATTTGGCAATATAGAAACTGTATTTACAGATCAATTAGAAAATTTTATTCAAATATACAAGTATGGAAATGTATGCAAGGTTTATGAAATTTTTAAAATTTTAGATAAGTATAAATGAAGATACAGACATAAAATAGGAATTATTATTATATAATCTAATAAACTGTAGTAAATTAATGAAAGAATGTTAAAAGATGTATTTAAAATTGTTGCCTATTTTAAATTTTTCTTATGTGGGATATTCAAATTACAAATTCTTTTATAAATCAAATCAATTGCACACAAAACCAAACCCAACATATGTTAATAATCAAATGATACAACTGAAATTCTTATTGGTCTAAAATAGTGTTTAATTAATTATTAAAATACCAAGTAATTTGGTTTATAGATAGGCAGTTAAGCTGCTATCTTGTGTTGAATTTATTTAGAATCTTTTGGAAGAAAAGCCATTAAATTGACCCGATAAGAATCCTGTCGTATCATTTGATTACAAAACATAGGTGACGTAAAAGTTATATAACATTACTTTTACTTTTATGATCGAAATTATGTTTAAATGTAGTATGTTATGCTTTAAAGAAATAACTTATTTGGTTATAATTTGGATAACTTCAAGAGGAAAATTTAAAATTAATAGTACCATTTAAAATTTTTGTCTAACATTCAATGTATTATGTACTTTTTTCCAGTTTGTTATTTTATAAAATTATTTTCATTTATAGTTAAAATAAAAAATATATATATATTTTATGCATCTACACCACTTATTTTTTCCTACTTTCAGGAAAACTGTATTTAGCCTGATATAAAGAGTAAATATTCTTTGGTAGAATACTCTTAAATATTTTAGACCCAATTAAATCCTGTGCTTAACCCGAAAATGAAGGATTATTCTAACACCTCTGGCTAGACACATGGTTTATAAATTAATGTTTAAACTGTAGCAATTATTTATTTGAGGTTTATTTCACTTTCATAACAGCTCCTCACTTCATCTATAAACATTGTTTTTTCCAGGTCTTATCATACAAATACTGTACATAACAATTTTAATTTTATTTTCTATGTTATTAGTTCAAACTGATATATTACTAGTCTTACTTAGTTGTACTTAAGTGAGTACATGAAAATTCGGATTTTCCTTCTTATCTGACTTACGGAGGTGTGAAACCTTCTGAAATCTAAACCATTTGCTAAATGAAATAGAATTAGAATAAAAAGTTAAAAAAACCAAACCAGTTTTTCCTTTGAATGAGAGACTTTGGAGATAAGTTGTAATAAAAAAATACTCTCTCTCAAAGGAAAAACTAGCTTGCTTTTTTAACTTTTTATTCTAATTCTATTTCATTTAGCAAATGGTTTAGAGTTCAGAAGGTTTCACGCCTCCATGAGTCAGGTAAGAAGGAAAATCCAAATTTTCGTGTACTCACTTACAGTACAATTAAGTAAGATTAGAATATTCTGACTCCATTGTTTTAAATATTTTTATTTATTCATATGATATTACTAGATTTAAAATTTATTCGATTAGATCAAATAAAGCAAAAATTTGAAAATTACTTTGAAACAAAATACTTAAATCAGTACATTTAAACCTCATTTTTAATACACATTTTATTACTTTAAAGTGTTTTAGAAGTATCTCTGTAATACAAAATATATTAAGTTAGTAAAAAACTTGTCTAGATTATCAACCCGTTTTGTCAGATTTCATTCTCTATACTTTAAGATGGTAAGATTTAATGTAGAAGAATCCATAAAAAGGCAATATCTCAGCAATATATGAAAACTGCTAATGAATCAATAAAGCCAACAGAGACAGGTAAGTGTCCAACTAACTATAAAAATAAAATCTCTCTTTCAAGGACAATGGATATTTATAACTACCTAATGTTAGCTAATGACTGACCTTGAAACTCGATTGCTGTTTGTTCTAGTCAATCAAATATTCAACATCCTATCCTATACTTTATACGAAAGATAGATAATATTCTGTATACTGTATAATTATAATTATATGGTTTAAAATATTGAACAAACAAAGAAAATTTATATTGTATTTTTTATTTTTTAAAGCATTTTAATCTCAATTGATTCAAACATGTAATTCTTAAAAATTCAATAATCTTGTATATGATTAATGTGTGTTCCCCATGCATTAAACAAAATGGAAAAGTAATCAATTTTTACTTTATATCAAAAAATCTCTTATAAAATATTCAACTTACTTCAGCAGCTCTTCTATCTCTTTCTCTAGCAAGTTCGAGCCCTTCTGTTCTGCATTGATTATCTTCTAAAGTATAAAATTCTTCGGCACCATTCGCGCAAGATACCTAATGGAATTTATATTAATCACGTAAAACTTATTTATTTATAAAAAAAAAAAACAAACTATTAATCTGAAAACTTAAGCAAGCTTTAAGAATATTAAAGTTCATTAATTGCTTTTGCATAATAGTTATAACAGAAATGCACTGCTGATTAGCACAATTATTATAAGTAGACAGACAATAATATAATTATTACTGTGATCATATGTTTATAATACTTTGTCTTAGGGATATATTGACTTTTTAGTGTATTCAACAACAAAAAAATAAAAAAACCCAAGTAATATTGTCAATTTACAACAAGAATTTCAAAAAAAAAAACTCAGATTTTTTCAAAGGTAAAAATCTACCAAGTGAATGATGTGATTGTAGCGATTATCCCTCATCTCCACAGGATTCCAACCATAGGTTTTCAATATCTTCTCCCAAGATTCCTTGCTAATAACTGTAAAAACATTTCATGAGTTAATTCATTTATAAAGCTTAGACAATTTATAGCTATCTTAAGCTGCATTTTGTGGCAAAAATCAGATAGAAATGAAACATGCTCACATTCTTTAGTACATAATAATAATTTTTGGTAGATTTATGCTCAAATCGAGAGAGTTATGTGCTTTTTTTTTTTGGTTTATGAGAAAAGAATGGTGCTGAGTAAGAAGAGTAAATTTTCATCGGCAGGGCCAGCAACCGGAGAGTTGTCAGAGTTTAACAGGCTACATCCAGATGGAGCCTATTAAAATCCTTAGTAACTCCTCATACACTGTGTCTCTACCATCAAAATAAATGAAATTCATTCCTCCTTACTTGGCATCATGCTTTACCTGTAAAAAAGTAATGACCAATGTAACTCCTATGGTTCCAGACTTATGGGACACCCTCTATACTTTTCGATTTTAAATTGTAAATACTCTAGTATATTGCAGAAATGATGTTATACAAAATCTTCAAGATGTGTGTACAAATCTTAACTTTCAATAAAATTAAATCAATAACAGTACTTATAAATTAAATTTTAATAAAAAGCCTTACCATATTCTGTATTATTATTTCATACAATTATTATTAAACAAACANATTTCGATTTTAAAAATGTTCAAACCGTTTTAAATTTGAATTTGTTATTGCATATTGGTTCGCCTATAGAACAATTGTAAACGTTCCAGAAAATTTATCAAATTGAAAATAGTTTGTTTGATTCTTGGCAATTCTCATCATTCTCAGCAGTAGGTGTTATATAACAATTACTATGGTTGTTGAAATACTGAATATAAATGGGGTTTGCTTGCAAAATCTGTGTGGGCAAAGACAAATACATTTAAAATTGTTATCTAGCAAAAATAAATATTCATTTCATATAAATTTAAAACTTTAAAAATTATTACTGGTATTTAAGTAGCATAAATATTTTAACTCCTTAGTCAAAAGAAGAAAAAAATTCAGCACAAAGGTGACTTTATTATTTCTTTACACACACATTCACCTTTAATTACCATATAAGTTGTACTTGTACCATTGAATATTAGATAACTTCTAAGACAATTTTTCTATATTTTTTATAACTTAATGCTGGATGGAAGATAATTATTTTGTACAAAATTCTTTCGTTTCATTTATAAGATAAAGTTGGATTCAAAGATGATATCAAATTAAACATTAAGCAAAATCCATAATTTAAGAATTGATGTAAGAAAAATTTAATGGCTACACTTATGCCGCCGCATATGTAAAAGGTATACATAAAATTGTATATAATGTCTACAGTTATCTATATTATTACTCACACTAAGAATGGATCGGATATTAAATTTATTATTTGCAAAATCAGATAAAATTTGTTCCATTAATAAACTTGAAATATCTCAAGGATCATAATATTAACAAAGAAATTATATTCCATATTTGTCATGCATATTTGTGAAAAGCAATAAATTGATTCTGTCAGTTCAATTGTCAGAACTGTCTATTAAGGTCTACAAATAATCAAATTTATGCTATACTTTATTTGTACATCAGTATACAAAATTTGATTATTTTTAAAACAGGCATTAAATGTATTAGTAAATGACTGTACATTATGCACCTAAAAATCTACTTAGAAGCTTACTGAACAATAGTTACAGAAAGAATATTGTGCACTATCTAAATATTACATCCCAACTGGATTAACTATTCAATAAGCTTTTAATATCTTCAAAAAATTATGGAATATTATAAATAATAAAGATTTTTCCCTCCACAATAAAAATTATTATTTCAAAGACTGTGTGCACGTTTCATTTTGAGTGAATTACTGTTATTTAGAAGGATTACAATACAGCAAAATATCTTAAGCTGAAATGCTAAAATCTCTGTCATATGCATTCATTTTTTGTTAAGACAAATGCAAGAAGCAAATACACAAATACATTAAAACTAAGATTCTTGTTATGGAATCCTTACAGGCAGAAGCGTCCATCGTTCCTCTGTCGCAGATGACGAGCGTGTTCCTGTCAGAAGATTCGGCCAGTGCAAAATACGTCTCCTCCATTGCCATCATAGTTTTTAGCAAATTTTCTTGAAACTTCTCCGCTAAAATTTTGTTATAAAAATGGATATTAGAATTATTATGTGTACGTCTTGAAAGACTTTCGATATTAACTTAAGAATTTTCTTAAGACGAGTCTTTTGTACAGTAGGGTTAGTAATGTGACTTATCCATAAAATTTAACGACAAAGAATCAAATTAGCTTAACTTAAATTACAAGAAAAGTTGTTTTATACGAATTCCAATTAATGCAGTTATTAAATAAAACTCTTAATATTTAAAAATGAAAAGAAAAATTAATTTTCCTTTTCAATCTTTTCAGAAAATAAAGTTTTTACTGAAGAACCTACAAGTAATATTTAAATATTTTTCAAGATTTGCAGAGTGGAAATCACCAACTGGAAGTACACAAACAACTTTTTTAAATTTTATTATTTTTCAAATATTAAAAAGCTCATTACGAAAGCTAAACTACCTTGACTTTCGGACAGATCGAGGAATCTGACGCCCCCTCTAAATAAATAAATAAAAAAATTCATTTTAAGTTAATTGAACTTGAATAAAAGTAAATAATACACACATTTCAATTATTTTTTCAACTTTTAATGTTTTAGATTTCATATAAAAACAGAAAGAGATTTGGAAATTTATATTTGATAATATTTTATCATCCCAACATTTTAAAAATAAAATAAAATAATCATGTAATGTGTTATTTTGAAAATTTCGTATTACATTAATATCTATGTATGGGTATTTCGTACTTTTACGGAAATACCGCTTAATATTCTAGACTTATCGTAAGCGTTAGGATTAAAATTTTGTCTAAAAACAAGATAATAAACTTTAATTTATTCCAAGAACAAACTGGGAAAAATATCTATTCTTATATACATTATGAAATAGTGACTAGACACCTTTACCCTAAAAGTATCGTAGCAGCTTCTGGTACCCGGTATACCTAAGATGAAGGAAAAAGATCTTATAGAATCAAAACTCTTGAAAACATCTAGATAGGAATGTTTACATTATTTGTTAAGATAAATAGTCAGAAATTATTCCACATAATATCGATCCTTTACGAGGTAATACATGGATCTATTACACTGTTTAAAGAATTTAAAATAAACATTTTTTACTCAAAAAAAGACATTTTCTGCTTCTCTGAAAATATATCATACAAAAGGCTTGAGCATATAAGGCAGTGATGACCCAGAAAGTGAATTATCCTTACAAACAGGCTCCTCTACCTTGTAAAATGATCAGAAGTGTCAATTTACACTTGTAGATGGAAGTCAAAGCCATATCAGAAATCAATAATTTTGCCCTTTTTTTTTGTACTGTAAAAGATATTTATTTGTCCTTCCTGAAAATTAGGTTCATGTGAGTTACCGCCTTTCACACTCGAACCCTTCGTATGTAAAGAAAATATTCAATAAATTAAAATATACACAAAATTTTATCTTTAACAAGCACAATAATACTGGGATGAATACAATCAACAAATCATAATACTTAGAAATTAGAAAAATGTTTTTTAAATTAAAAGACTATTCAAACAACAACAACAAATGAAAAAAAAAAAAACCATTAATTAAATCAAAAGCTCATATTTTCAATTTTAATTTAAAAAAAAATACTATAAAAGTTTAATATATCAATAGTTCAAGTACAGAATGTCTTTTTTTTCCCCTTCTATTTCAATTTAATTCGAATTTTTCAATTGTAGCCTAGCAATTAAGTTATTTTTAACTTTAAAAATCAATTATCTGATGACGAAAAACTGACCTGTATAACTGATTGCACGATTAAAAGACTGGTTAAAATACACATACAAGCCATAGTTTTTAAGTTACAATAATTCACATAAAAATACATGCGTTAATACTTTCTTTTACTAACCATGCAATAAAGAATTTATTATTTTGTATAGGAATAAAGCTAATTGTTAATTATGTTGCAAATCAAAAGCAATGTTAATAAAGGCATCGTATATAACCCTTATAGGAACAATAAATAATAATAGTGTTGAATAGAAAATTTTATTATGCACAGTTTTACATAAAATCTCACTAACCTTGAAAATTAGTCTTAAATTAGTAATACAAGTCGACCCCCCTATAAGATTGTTGATTTTTCCGTTTTATATGAATTCCATGTTGTACGAGTCACTTAGATTTTACAAATACATGTGCCAGGCTGTGAACGGCTCACATATTTGTAAAATCTAAGTGACTCGTACAACATGTAATTCAGATAAAACGGAAAAATCAACAATCTTACAGGGGGGTCGACTGTAGTCAAAATTATCACTTTTCTAATGTTTTTTACCAACTCCTAAGGTCTTCGTCATCAGGAAATTCAAATAGCGAAATGTTTGTCAAATCTTCAAACAGGAAAATTTATAAGGATGCACCGATAAGCAAAATGGCCGATTACCGATTAATCGGCCACGTATTATCGGCCGATACCGATTAATCGGCCGATTAGTGTTAATAATTTATTGCGTTAATAGTATGAGATCCTGGAGTTAATTATACGGTTAATTATAACGTGGAAAAAACCCATTTTTCTCTGTCTGGTATTTCCATCTCCCACGGGTCAAGTAAACAAGAGATGGTCGAATATCATCGCAAAATCAACAATCTCTTCCTTTGTTTGGGAAAGTTTCTAAGATAAATCTCAACACTTAATTGTTGACGCGTGGAACCTTCGACATTGTTTAAAAAGCTGAAGTATTTCTGTGTCTAATAAAACAAACCGCATCATTCTAGCTACAATAGAACCCGAGATGTTTACGTTCAAAGTTGTGATTATGACAATGGAGTGTCAATTTACACGTGCTGTCGTAACGTCGGCTTCCCGGTGCGATACACGCTATTTACTTTTTATTATTTACAAATATTTAAGATTTAGTTTCAGCTAATGTTCTGGAAAGATGATGTACACGTGTTAGACTTAATTATAGCTTTGTAAACACTGGGGACCGATTTAACGGTAATAAACGAACCGGAATTGCAGTTTTAACGTTTCGCAACGCGATGGGACCATAAAATCGGTAAATAAATAAAATAAAGCTTAAGAAATCATTCAAAAAACATAACCTTATTTAGAATCCAACATATGAAGACCGAAAAAATCGTTAAATGCTTGATATCATATGACAAGTTTTCAGGCAAACGCAATACATTTTATGACTAGAGTCAAATCGTATATTGCTTGGTCCCTGGAGACACGCGGCTTGAGTGTCTTGTGATAAGTCGTCATCGGAAAATTGTATTTAAATCCAAACCCCTCATGGCTTCTAGTATTGCTTGGAAATTTTTTAAGAAAGATAAAAACGAGAAGTTTTCAAGTGCAATTTGTGCCAGGNATAGTGCAAGTGATTTAGACGGAAATCTGAACATCACCCAGTTTTGCATTCTGCAGTTTTACACAATCCATTCAACTTTAAGGTCTCGGCTTTCATGGCTCTCTTAAGATACGCAATCTCACGTTACTCAAGCTTAACAAAGACCTACCAAGAATTAAATTAAATAAGAGTAACGAGGTTTTATACAATTTACTTTTCATTATTAAGAATTTCAGATTTTTTAAAAAAATATTAAAGTTTACTCAAATTCAGATTTCTTTTAATATTTTATAACCATTAAATTCTCTTCCAGTCATAATTTAAATTTAAGATATGAGCTTTTGAAAATAAAATATTTATATTAATTCAAACAATTCTTCTATTAATATTTAATAAATATTGAATTTCATTCCAATCATTAAAAATAATTATATAATTATAATATTATGATAACATAATTTTAATTAAAGTAATTACTCTAATAAAAATCTGAAATATTAAAAATTAAAAAAATTAAACAAATAAATTTAAAAATCAAATATTTAAAATTTAAAACAAGAGAAAAATATTCCTGTGAATGATGTAATAAACAATAAATACCTCACAAGTTTGGCTAATACACTGAAGAAAGTATTAGTAAGTTTTAATTTTTACAAAACATTCACCATACCTTCCATCCAAGATTTTCAAAAAAAGTACATAATCTAGCTTGACCTGTTGTCTTTCCGCTACATGGCCCTAAAATATAATAAAAAAATATTAATAATAATAAGTAATTGACAAAATAAAGTTAATTTTATGTAATTTTTCAAAACAACGTAATCAGATTGCAATGATCTCACACATTACAATACTTTTCCACCCTTAAATTAAGATTCGTTAAAAGAAACTCTCACTTTTGATTTGTATCACAGTCAAAATAGTTCTCCAATATATAAAAAGTCAAGAAGAAAACTCAAATTTAATGTAATAAATCAAAAATACATACTGCTTTAATTAATGGTATCAATAAAACAGGATATATTTTAAGATGAAAATAAGTCCATATTTTAAGAATACAAATTTGAATATTGATGGGAATTAGGATACTTTAATTCTAATTCCCATCAATATTCAAAAGATGTTATCTTTCTGTTCAAATGAAATGGGCTACGTCATCGGCTTGTTTACTTAACTGTATTATCGGGTGCCGTGCCTGATGACTCCGACAGTGTGTGCAAATGGAGATATGTTGGAAAAATAATTTTTATGCTCTCATTTAAAATTACATATAAAACGTTATTGAGTTACATATAATAGAATGACTATTATCTCTTACAATTTTATTAATTGTATTTTGACTGTTTTAATGGATAAAAACTAATACTTCTATTCAACTCAAAAAATTGTATATAATTTTAAGTTAAAAGGATTTTTTCAACAGAGTATGACAATGATAGAACTGCTTTCAGAAAGATAACATCTTTCAAATATTGATGGGATTTGGAATAGTTTAAAATTTTTAAATTTATATTCTAAAAACTGGTTTTCTCCTGAAAATTTTCTTGGATCCTTTCAAGGAAATTAAGTCCTTGAAAGAGTTTAAATTTCCTTGAAAGTGTTTGGAAAGATTTTTATTTTTGTTTGTTTATTAACTACGAATAAAACAAATATTTTTTGGACTTAGTAATTAAATATTTACTTTCAATCATTTAATGTTTATTAATTGCATATCCAATTTGCTGTTCACTATTTGAAGCAAAAACAATAAAACTGGACGTGCAATTAATAAAAAGACGTAGTTTCATTTAATAATTTATATAGAATATATTTTTCCAATTCTTCAGGTACTTAATAGTAATTAATATCATATTAATTAGTAAGCCAGATGAAGCTCCTGCTTCCATATAGTAAGTGGGAGTTGCAGGTTTGAATCCCACACTGCGCTGATTCTTTTCTTCCAGTAATTTCTAAATTAATTGTATTATAATTATTGACATTAATACGAGATGGCAGCTTAACTGCCTTATTTAGTTCGTCATATAATAAATAAATAACAGAAATTTATTATTTTTTATTACTAGCATTATACGTAACATTCTAACAAAAATATCAAAATGCAAAATTGGCCGATTATAAAAACCGATTAATTGGGGAAATGACCGATACCGATTAATCGGCAAAGTGGCCGATACGGCCGATTACCGATTACTTACCGATTAATCGGTGCATCCTTAAAAATTTACCTTCTAATCACATACATTTTTAAATCTGTTGTCATGCGCACATTATGCAATGCACGGATATGCAGCTCCATCTTAATGAACTGATAAAAGACCCTTCTCCCTCAGATCTAACAACAGTTTACCTGCAAAGTAAGAAGTTCCAACAGATTTCCCAACTTACAAGCTCGTTTTACAAATTGGAATGTTCCAAACTACTCGAGTTCTTGAATGAGATAATTATTTACTCCAAATATGCTGATGATGTTTTCATTCCATAGACAGTAAATCATATATTGAATATCTTTTGAAGACTTAAAGACTGATTTAGACATAGTGCAAGTGATTTAGACGGAAATCTGAACATCACCCAGTTTTGCATTCTGCAGTTTTACACAATCCATTCAACTTTAAGGTCTCGGCTTTCATGGCTCTCTTAAGATACGCAATCTCACGTTACTCAAGCTTAACAAAGACCTACCAAGAATTAAATTAAATAAGAGTAACGAGGTTTTATACAATTTACTTTTCATTATTAAGAATTTCAGATTTTTTAAAAAAATATTAAAGTTTACTCAAATTCAGATTTCTTTTAATATTTTATAACCATTAAATTCTCTTCCAGTCATAATTTAAATTTAAGATATGAGCTTTTGAAAATAAAATATTTATATTAATTCAAACAATTCTTCTATTAATATTTAATAAATATTGAATTTCATTCCAATCATTAAAAATAATTATATAATTATAATATTATGATAACATAATTTTAATTAAAGTAATTACTCTAATAAAAATCTGAAATATTAAAAATTAAAAAAATTAAACAAATAAATTTAAAAATCAAATATTTAAAATTTAAAACAAGAGAAAAATATTCCTGTGAATGATGTAATAAACAATAAATACCTCACAAGTTTGGCTAATACACTGAAGAAAGTATTAGTAAGTTTTAATTTTTACAAAACATTCACCATACCTTCCATCCAAGATTTTCAAAAAAAGTACATAATCTAGCTTGACCTGTTGTCTTTCCGCTACATGGCCCTAAAATATAATAAAAAAATATTAATAATAATAAGTAATTGACAAAATAAAGTTAATTTTATGTAATTTTTCAAAACAACGTAATCAGATTGCAATGATCTCACACATTACAATACTTTTCCACCCTTAAATTAAGATTCGTTAAAAGAAACTCTCACTTTTGATTTGTATCACAGTCAAAATAGTTCTCCAATATATAAAAAGTCAAGAAGAAAACTCAAATTTAATGTAATAAATCAAAAATACATACTGCTTTAATTAATGGTATCAATAAAACAGGATATATTTTAAGATGAAAATAAGTCCATATTTTAAGAATACAAATTTGAATATTGATGGGAATTAGGATACTTTAATTCTAATTCCCATCAATATTCAAAAGATGTTATCTTTCTGTTCAAATGAAATGGGCTACGTCATCGGCTTGTTTACTTAACTGTATTATCGGGTGCCGTGCCTGATGACTCCGACAGTGTGTGCAAATGGAGATATGTTGGAAAAATAATTTTTATGCTCTCATTTAAAATTACATATAAAACGTTATTGAGTTACATATAATAGAATGACTATTATCTCTTACAATTTTATTAATTGTATTTTGACTGTTTTAATGGATAAAAACTAATACTTCTATTCAACTCAAAAAATTGTATATAATTTTAAGTTAAAAGGATTTTTTCAACAGAGTATGACAATGATAGAACTGCTTTCAGAAAGATAACATCTTTCAAATATTGATGGGATTTGGAATAGTTTTAAATTTTTAAATTTATATTCTAAAAACTGGTTTTCTCCTGAAAATTTTCTTGGATCCTTTCAAGGAAATTAAGTCCTTGAAAGAGTTTAAATTTCCTTGAAAGTGTTTGGAAAGATTTTTATTTTTGTTTGTTTATTAACTACGAATAAAACAAATATTTTTTGGACTTAGTAATTAAATATTTACTTTCAATCATTTAATGTTTATTAATTGCATATCCAATTTGCTGTTCACTATTTGAAGCAAAAACAATAAAACTGGACGTGCAATTAATAAAAAGACGTAGTTTCATTTAATAATTTATATAGAATATATTTTTCCAATTCTTCAGGTACTTAATAGTAATTAATATCATATTAATTAGTAAGCCAGATGAAGCTCCTGCTTCCATATAGTAAGTGGGAGTTGCAGGTTTGAATCCCACACTGCGATGATTCTTTTCTTCCAGTAATTTCTAAATTAATTGTATTATAATTATTGACATTAATACGAGATGGCAGCTTAACTGCCTACGTCTAGTCAAATTAATTAATTATTAAGTTAGCCCAAAAGTAATCCAATAATTTCAGAAGTTCATTTGGTTTGATTAAAATTAGGTTGAGTTGTTTGTGTTATTTACTATTTTTTCATCAGAAAATTGTTAGCAAAATAAAATCAATTTAATGTAATAATTTTTTTAAAAAGACAGTTAAAATGACAAAATAATAGCCCAAATTCATATATATTTTTTTAAATTCAATGAAATCAGAGATTTGACTTTATATAATGATTATCTACATAACATGTTATTACTGGATTCATAATTTGACAATTACCCAAATGAATGTAACATAATACACGATAATGTCCTTCGTATAGAATTATTATTGTATGCCATTTATTACAGATGTATATAAATAAAATTTATAGTAAAATAATTTAAAACTTTCGCAACATATTTNAATAGCTATGAAATATTTAAGTGCCCCAGCATCTTCCATTGAAAGTGAAAGAATTTTCAGCACTGGAGGTAACATTTATGAGCCGGCAAGAAATAGGTTATGCCCTGAAAATGGTGAAATTCTCATGTTTTTGCATTACAATTTAAGGGTTTTACAGTTTGAATACTAAATTTTTATTTGTTTTATATCTTTAAAGTTTAAACTTTAAATAAAAGATATCGTTTTGAATAGTTTATATTGTATCTTATAATATGTATTGATAAAAGGAATAATTTGAATTGTAAATTTTTTTTAATATTTAGTTCGTCATATAATAAATAAATAACAGAAATTTATTATTTTTTATTACTAGCATTATACGTAACATTCTAACAAAAATATCAAAATGCAAAATTGGCCGATTATAAAAACCGATTAATCGGGGAAATGACCGATACCGATTAATCGGCAAAGTGGCCGATACGGCCGATTACCGATTACTTACCGATTAATCGGTGCATCCTTAAAAATTTACCTTCTAATCACATACATTTTTAAATCTGTTGTCATGCGCACATTATGCAATGCACGGATATGCAGCTCCATCTTAATGAACTGATAAAAGACCCTTCTCCCTCAGATCTAACAACAGTTTACCTGCAAAGTAAGAAGTTCCAACAGATTTCCCAACTTACAAGCTCGTTTTACAAATTGGAATGTTCCAAACTACTCAAGTTCTTGAATGAGATAATTATTTACTCCAAATATGCTGATGATGTTTTCATTCCATAGACAGTAAATCATATATTGAATATCTTTTGAAGACTTAAAGACTGATTTAGACATAGTGCAAGTGATTTAGACGGAAATCTGAACATCACCCAGTTTTGCATTCTGCAGTTTTACACAATCCATTCAACTTTAAGGTCTCGGCTTTCATGGCTCTCTTAAGATACGCAATCTCACGTTACTCAAGCTTAACAAAGACCTACCAAGAATTAAATTAAATAAGAGTAACGAGGTTTTATACAATTTACTTTTCATTATTAAGAATTTCAGATTTTTTAAAAAAATATTAAAGTTTACTCAAATTCAGATTTCTTTTAATATTTTATAACCATTAAATTCTCTTCCAGTCATAATTTAAATTTAAGATATGAGCTTTTGAAAATAAAATATTTATATTAATTCAAACAATTCTTCTATTAATATTTAATAAATATTGAATTTCATTCCAATCATTAAAAATAATTATATAATTATAATATTATGATAACATAATTTTAATTAAAGTAATTACTCTAATAAAAATCTGAAATATTAAAAATTAAAAAAATTAAACAAATAAATTTAAAAATCAAATATTTAAAATTTAAAACAAGAGAAAAATATTCCTGTGAATGATGTAATAAACAATAAATACCTCACAAGTTTGGCTAATACACTGAAGAAAGTATTAGTAAGTTTTAATTTTTACAAAACATTCACCATACCTTCCATCCAAGATTTTCAAAAAAAGTACATAATCTAGCTTGACCTGTTGTCTTTCCGCTACATGGCCCTAAAATATAATAAAAAAATATTAATAATAATAAGTAATTGACAAAATAAAGTTAATTTTATGTAATTTTTCAAAACAACGTAATCAGATTGCAATGATCTCACACATTACAATACTTTTCCACCCTTAAATTAAGATTCGTTAAAAGAAACTCTCACTTTTGATTTGTATCACAGTCAAAATAGTTCTCCAATATATAAAAAGTCAAGAAGAAAACTCAAATTTAATGTAATAAATCAAAAATACATACTGCTTTAATTAATGGTATCAATAAAACAGGATATATTTTAAGATGAAAATAAGTCCATATTTTAAGAATACAAATTTGAATATTGATGGGAATTAGGATACTTTAATTCTAATTCCCATCAATATTCAAAAGATGTTATCTTTCTGTTCAAATGAAATGGGCTACGTCATCGGCTTGTTTACTTAACTGTATTATCGGGTGCCGTGCCTGATGACTCCGACAGTGTGTGCAAATGGAGATATGTTGGAAAAATAATTTTTATGCTCTCATTTAAAATTACATATAAAACGTTATTGAGTTACATATAATAGAATGACTATTATCTCTTACAATTTTATTAATTGTATTTTGACTGTTTTAATGGATAAAAACTAATACTTCTATTCAACTCAAAAAATTGTATATAATTTTAAGTTAAAAGGATTTTTTCAACAGAGTATGACAATGATAGAACTGCTTTCAGAAAGATAACATCTTTCAAATATTGATGGGATTTGGAATAGTTTTAAATTTTTAAATTTATATTCTAAAAACTGGTTTTCTCCTGAAAATTTTCTTGGATCCTTTCAAGGAAATTAAGTCCTTGAAAGAGTTTAAATTTCCTTGAAAGTGTTTGGAAAGATTTTTATTTTTGTTTGTTTATTAACTACGAATAAAACAAATATTTTTTGGACTTAGTAATTAAATATTTACTTTCAATCATTTAATGTTTATTAATTGCATATCCAATTTGCTGTTCACTATTTGAAGCAAAAACAATAAAACTGGACGTGCAATTAATAAAAAGACGTAGTTTCATTTAATAATTTATGTAGAATATATTTTTCCAATTCTTCAGGTACTTAATAGTAATTAATATCATATTAATTAGTAAGCCAGATGAAGCTCCTGCTTCCATATAGTAAGTGGGAGTTGCAGGTTTGAATCCCACACTGCGATGATTCTTTTCTTCCAGTAATTTCTAAATTAATTGTATTATAATTATTGACATTAATACGAGATGGCAGCTTAACTGCCTACGTCTAGTCAAATTAATTAATTATTAAGTTAGCCCAAAAGTAATCCAATAATTTCAGAAGTTCATTTGGTTTGATTAAAATTAGGTTGAGTTGTTTGTGTTATTTACTATTTTTTCATCAGAAAATTGTTAGCAAAATAAAATCAATTTAATGTAATAATTTTTTTAAAAAGACAGTTAAAATGACAAAATAATAGCCCAAATTCATATATATTTTTTAAATTCAATGAAATCAGAGATTTGACTTTATATAATGATTATCTACATAACATGTTATTACTGGATTCATAATTTGACAATTACCCAAATGAATGTAACATAATACACGATAATGTCCTTCGTATAGAATTATTATTGTATGCCATTTATTACAGATGTATATAAATAAAATTTATAGTAAAATAATTTAAAACTTTCGCAACATATTTAAAATATAAAATTTATAAGAAAAGTTTCTTGTAAACTTATAAAAGTGGAATGTATGCTATTTATAAAGATGAATTAATGTTTATAAAAAACTGTAATTTACTTAACAAAGACTGTATACTTTTTATATTTAAGACAAGTCAAAGGATTTTCTTTGTTAAATTTAAAAATTATGAAATTTTTGTAAAAATATTACAATATATTAAAGCTTATAAATTCAAATGATAATGCTGGAATCAAGATGGCAATTTAATCTCTTACCTTTAGTTCAGATTACTTTATTTAAGTAGCCGAGTTATGTTCCAATGAATCTAGATTTATTATTCAATTATTAATCTATAACTTAGTTTACTGTTTACAAATGCCATAAAGTATTATGATTTCTATCATCATTATTTTTATTCTCATTAAAAGATTATTATATGTTTTACAGGAACTTGTTGTATATTTCAAGGTTTTAGTTTCAACAGATAATACTATATGTTGTCTATGATTATTACCAGGAGTTTATAATTTAGTCTTTGATTACTATCATATTTTATCTAAACTGCAGTAAAAATAAAAAAATAAAAAAAAGTCTAATACCTACTGGAATGAAACAGAAAATCACATGAAATCTAATATATCCTTTAAATTTTAGATACAAAGTTTTTGCTTTGTATTAAAAACCTTACGTAAATTTGATATTTTTGGGATTAAAAATAAATTTTTCAAGTGTTCAAACATTAAAAAATATACATAAAACAAATTCAGTCTATTGAAAAATATTTTATGAATTTTTTCTAATTTTTTAACAAGCTTCTAAAGTTTTTAATTTGATTAATTCATAAGTTTTCATATAAAGATAATTTATATAAATAAATAAATTTAAGATTAGAAAGTCAGGTTTAACTCTTGTTTTTCTTTATTTCTATTAAAATAAATTAATATTAAGTTCTTAAATTTAAAATATATTAACAGAAACTAGAAAATATTTCAAATAAAATGTGTCATTCAGAATATATTTAATCTGAACACAAAAAAAATGTATATACTGGATAATACTATCTGTATAACATTTGATAGATATGACTTTATCTTTCTGATAATACAGTAGTTTCAAGTCAAAAACAGAAGCTAGCATGTATCTTGTTTATTTTTAAATGGTTACCGTAAATTTGACAGATGTTTTTTCATGAGTCTAAATAGTCTCATTACATTTATGACAATAGTAAATACACATACTAAAAGTTTCTGAAACTTTACAGGCTAATTTGTCATGTATAGTAGAAGTTCTTTAATCTAGCATTTATGAGACTAGAGTGATTCTGTAATATTGAAACTGCCAGCTTATTAGGCATTTTGTATTTTCAAAAATTCAATAAGTTATATGTGATCTAAATATTGCAGACACTACTATATACTTCAATTTGTTTGCTCAAGCTCAGCTTGAAGATGATACAATGCAAGATTATAAATGTTAAGATTGGTATAAAGGCATTATAAAACAAACATATTATTGTACAAAATCAACATTCACAGTGATTAATGTGCATAAAATATTTATGTTATAGATGTGCAGTATATACATACGATTAACAAAAGCTAGAATTATCGGCAACTTTTCGGAGGATTCCAGATTACTGTGTATTCTGGATTGTTGGATGCTAATTACTAAACTCATATTGTACCTATAAGGATATCAATGAAAATACTTGTTTGTGAAAGTAATAATTACAGTAATGATAGGGGTAGCAGCAATATGAACATTTACTCAACAGGTTATACAAAATATATTTTTTTCTAGTGCTGTCTACAAAATGATTTAGCAATCCTTAATGACTTTCATAATAATACAGGAATATTGTTGTAAGAAGTCTTTACATATACAGAAACAGTTTATACTAATTAAAAGAATATGCTATACTGTACTGTGCAATAATAACATACTGCTGTTTAAATATTACATAATATATTTTTTAAATAAAAGAGAATTACAGGTGCATTTTAACTATAAAAAGAAAAAAAAAACAACCTTATTTAAAGCAATGAAATAATCTAGCTAATTGTTTTATCATCCAAATTCTATCTTAAAGTATGACTAGTACATTAAGTCATCAAAAACATTATTCAGGACGTTTTATATTGTAATTTAGAAACGATAAGATCATTTCATCAAATTTCGAAAATATATTCTAAATAATGGACTATTTTCAATGCTGGATATAGTGACAACATAAATTCAATTTAAAATAGAAATTTAGTTCTTTCTATTACAGCCAACTTAGTAATAAAGTAAAATTACAGGACTAATTTAAACAATAGTTTCTGATCTTTTTTCAAAGCTGGCATCCTAACTGGTTTACTTTAGTGTGCATGACACACTTGATACCTAATTATGTAAATTAATTGCTGGGTATCAGAAAATCTTGCAACATGCCTATAAGCTCGCTGCAAAGTTTGCTGTCATAAAATCCAGGTTTAAAACTGTTCATTTGTTTACTTATTTGGCTAATGAAAATAATTCATGAAAACAAAAGTCATTTTATAAGCAATATTTTTGTTGCCATATTTATTCACTGCAGATATTATATTATATATATAGACAAGTTTAAAAAAATAAAATACTTTTTTACTGATAAATTAAATAAACTAATTAATTTGTTTATCAGCAATAATTCTTTATAATTCTTAGTTTAAAAAAAATTTAATACTAAAAGTTTCTATAAATAACAGTAAAGAACATGCAAATATTGAATTGCATAATTAATGACGACGTATTTTTCTCCCTACAAATACTTATTTTTAAAAACTTAAATATGAAAATTCTGGCAGGGATTAAATTAAAATTTAATCATTGCCAGAATTAGTTCATAATAATTCTTTAATAAGGAGAAAATACTATAACTATGACTGATGAATTAAAATTATGATTTCATTTATCATATCATACACACATCCTTTAAAATTGATAATGAATATTTAAATATTTGAAAGAATTGTATAACATTATATTTAATAATAATACTGTACACCACAAAAATAAATTTTTAAATCCTTTATTCCTTATCATAAATGATAATTTTGGTAAGGATACTGATAAGGACATTATGATAAGGAATAGTGGATAGAAGATGTAGTTTTTAACATTTTACTTTATTCTTGAGATATTCTGAAGAAATAACCTGCACTGTATTTACTTAAAACATTTTTTGGAATTTCTTACTACTAAACAAAAACTAATAAATATAAATTATTATTATTGTATAGTAAAATCCATCAAAAACTACATATGATGGCACGACTATTACGTTTTATTATTAATGCAGAAAGAGAAATATTTAAGTGTTATAGCTCTTATTACTGTTTCCCTCAACATGTGTTCAACTTATTTTTGCTTCTAAAGGAAGAGAAAGTAAGTTCAGTTTTATATGAGAAAGTTAGTTTTATATGTTTTGAAGATATGTTAAAAACAACAATACACATGTATGGTGCAGAGAGAAAAAATAATCTGTGCAAAAACTCAGGACAATTAAAATACATTTGTGAGTACTATTTCTAAGGATGTATCATGTACTAGTTAACAGGCTAACCCAGGGATCTCATACTTAAACACAGCAAAGGGCCAGTCAAATTCATGTACAGTATATCAGATGCAGGCCATATTCAATACTACTTGGTAAACCTAAACATACTGTAATTTAAAAAAATCTAACAAAGACCCTTTTGTTGCAAGGCCTTTACGATTTACGTAAACAGTTAGATGTTTGAATTTTTTCTGTTTTAATCCCTGCAAGATGTTAAGCATTTATTTCCAGAAAAGAAATCAAGGCCACAGGATGGATACAAAGCCTTAATGGTCGTATCCAGCCCACAGACTGCCAGTTTGTGACACTGGTCTAATGATAGTTAAGGAATTAACATAGAACTTTTCAGCTTCTATTTAAAAACTGTTTTTACGTCATGTGCAAGAATAATTGCCCTTAGAAATTAATTTTTGTTATTCCACATCAGAAATATAGTACTGTATTGAATTTTGGCTATTTTGAAGAATTAAGCAGGACAAAAAGTTTCCAAATGATATTGGTTTCTTTAAAATATTTGACACAATTGTTTGATAATTTATGTATACAAAAATGAAGCATCAAATTAACTTTATTAAATAACTTTTTTTAAATTTTAAGTACATGACCATTCCCAAAAATAATGTATTTTTAAAATATTTATTATTCCTGCAGAAACACATTAACTCTCCTAATTGTTAAGAAGAAACATCAGTAATATATTGTTTCAGCTACTTTCCAGAAAATGAAAACATTCTCTTAACAAAAACTATGGAGAAAAATGATAAACTAATTCAAGTTGGCCACAATCAAAATCCGAAGTTAACAGCATTAATTATGATTTAGAATTTACTTGCCATCAAGCCAAAAATTTCCACTTTACTCAGGTAACATTATGCAATTGATTTCCGTAAAATATCTTACGATAGTGCTTTATATAGCAAATCATTACATTTTACTTTTAATATTGTCACAGTTCACTTTTTCCAAGCGCCATGATGCAGTGGTTATCATTTCTGTCTATGAATTGGAAGGTCTCCGGTTCGAACCTGTGTCCTTTCTCAAAGATTCAAGAGCACACGTTAATTCACTATCATTTGCATATTTCGAGAATGTTCCCTCGTGCTATAAAACCATGAGCTATCAGGTTAAGGATCAGTTTTACTTGTACCGTGTGCTGCATAGTACGTTCTGTGGGTTAATAAACATCCCTTTGTATTTACCAATGACTTGTTATTGTTGTTCACCTTTAATCTATGCGACAATATGTATAAATATATTCATACTCCATAATGATAAATGACTTATTTTATTACAAATCAATATTTTCGAAACGGCTGGATAAGTTGTATACTTTTAAAATATATTTTACATTCTAATACGTAAACAAACATTTCTAATAATTTAAATTATAGATATCAGACATGCTTTATTCCTTTATTACATTAAAAAAATATAAATCGAAATTTTAAAGCTATCAAAATATTAAAAAATCATACTTTATTTCAAACGTTTATATAAGATTAAAACTACTGTAATTCAAATTCTTAAGCAGTCAGACTTGAATGGCTCTTAAATTATTCTTTTTTTGTCATTAATTACAACAGTAATTTCTTTTAAATTATATAATTTTATGTTTTTATTTTTAAATTTTATCATTTTGTAACTTACAATTTGACAGATTTATATTTTGAAACAATTACGCAAGATTTTTGTTTTCTTCTATTAAAATTGCTTTTGCAATAGTTAATAGATACATTATTTAATTATTAAGTTTTCTTCATATTGAAAATATAAATTTAAATACTAAAAAGAAAAATAATCATTTTTTTAACTAACATAACATAAAATTTTACACAGTCAACCCCCTATAACACTGTTGATAATTCCGGTTTATATGAATTCCATGTTGTACGAGTCACTTAGATTTTACAAATACGTGAGCCGTTTACAGCCCGGTACACGTATTTGTAAAATCTAAGTGACTCGTACAACATGAAATTCATATAAAACGGAATTATCAACAGTGTTATGGGGGGGGTCGACTGTATTATATAATCGAAGCTTAAAATTTTTCATTTAACTTAGAATTTTAGACAAGTATTTTTAATATAATAAAAAAAAGCACGGTAGTCTAAATAATAAAATATTGCAAGTTTTAAAAATTTTGTAATAAATTATTATTTTTATGTGTGTTAATAATAAATTATAAATTTTTAAAGAATCTGTTGAATTATAAGTTAGCTAATTTCTTTAACAAATACTTTATATTTAATTTGAAAATCTCAAAATAGTCGTAATTTTAAATATAACTACATAACCGCAATTATAAGCGTATACTTCTTTACTGTTTTTTAAAAATGATTGTTCATTATCACATGCTCATTTAATTTATTCTTGAGAATATTTTCTGATAGAATAAGAAGTTAACAGATTTTGCCGACCATTTAAATAATGTTTCCTTCATTTAAGTTATAAATATAAACGAGACTAAATAAAATAGTAAAAGAAAGTTGTTAATTCTTATTTAATACAAATATATTCTTATGAACGCAACCGAAATTACTGTAGATGCTGCGAACACCTACAGTTACATATACATTTTTACTTTTCAGTTTAGTTTATAAATATAGATGCAACGATGTACAGTACTATGAATACAATAGCAAAATGAAGTTTGCGATATAATGAAATAAAAGTATTATTAACCACAAACTCTAGTGTCAAATTTTATTGATATATTTATTTATAAACACAGAGAATGTGCTATCTTATACCTATATTTATTATTAGAAATATAGAAAGTAATATATATATATATTTCTGGAATGAATGCAAAAATAATTTCTCTCTTAATAAACTAATCAATTAATAAATTATATAAAATTCTCTTAACAAGAAAAAGAATAGGACAGTCAGAATAATTTTAATAAATGTATTCTTTACAATAGTCAAATACGAATGGCAGGATTTTATATTTCATCTTTCACTCCAAACAAATCTAATTTAATTGTTATAAATGCTAATGATCTACTGTATTATCGGGCTACGATAAGGCTAATTTAATAAAAATCGGGTTTACAAATTTATCGTTTACATACGCAATAATATAATTTGTATTGACAAATTAATCTTCAAACGAAATTATTTCATCATACGAACAGTTGATGTCGGTTAGAGAACAAAATACTTCGTACTAACTTGTAAGTAGCAATAACATAAAAAAAATTATATATTAAATATAACATTTTATTATTATGAAAATGGCAAGCATTATTTCGTGTCTTCAGTTAATAAATAAGTAAAAATTATCGACCCAAAAAGTTAATAGTCTTGCACTTTATAGTTTTCATCAATTTTTAACTCAAGGACACTGCCAATACTTTCCACCATACGAGTGACTTTCTAGTGTTACTTAATACGTCTTTATATGAAATTCCCAAAGTTTACCGATAAAATTTGTTCCTATTATTAAAATAAAACCTGCAAAGGCTCCTTTAAAATCCTCAAACCGTTACTCAGTACCTACTCTTACGATCAATCAGTAGTAACACATGCTGAATTGGCAATTCTTTATTGGAAGTGGATAAGGAGCCAGAATTACTGTTTCCTTACAAAGTATTATAAATGGAATAAAATCACCACTTCATTTACATAACTCTAATGAGTAATTTTGAAAGTACAGTAAACCTGTGTAAAACGAAACCTGAATAAAACGGAAACCTGCGTAAATGGAAAAAAAATTCTTCGAAATTTTCTACGTTAAAAGAAAAAACCCGTTCGAAACGGAAACCGGAAAAAAAACGTGCGATTCCGCTTTACACAGGTTTTGCTATGTATTGGCAAGTTTCCGTTTTAAACAGTTTTTCGTTCTTTACATAAAAAAAACCGCCTCCGTTTAGAATATTTTTTCGTATGGGCATATTTCCGTTTAATTCAGGTTCCGCTTTACACAGGTTTTACCGAATTTTTCCGTTTTGGCAGATTTCCGTCTCGAACAGTCTTTTTTTTCTTTATTACGTAGAAAACCGCTCCGTTTCGAAGAATTCTTCCGCTTAGGCAAGTTTCCGCTTTAGACAGGTTTACGTCTTTGCTATTGGCTTTATATAGAGAAATAATGAAATAAAATAAGTCTTACCCCCAGTCAGGACGAGTTTGTATACAATTCGTTCTTTCTTCTCGAAATCTTGAGTCATTTTACTCATTTAGAAGGTTTAAATAATTGATATATTGAGATAATGATCAACCGGCTTTTATTATCTACCACAATCACAACGTGCTACCATGGCATCTAATTGCGAATCGAACAGCAAAAAGAACTGCCACCTATCATCGACTTCTCACACTGAAAATTCTCCAAAAATCCGCCCAATATTGTAAAAAAAAAATACTTTAAAATTTTTAAAAATTCGTTTAAATATTTTAATATTTTTTTAATAAATAAATATTTAATTTTATGTTAAAATAGGGAATAAAAAGTTTAATTTATGAACTTTTACGTTTTGATTAATACGACGGACCTTCTTACGGAAAGACGATAATAATCCACTCGGCCATATTGTTGTGTTTTCTAGGAAGACGAAGCTGCGCAGTAGGAAAATAAAATTGTGATGGAAAGGATTTAAAACTGATCTAAATTTAAAATTAAAGAAAAAAATTTTTGTCGTAAATTGAAGGCAATCGGAAACTCGAATCACACGTAACGCGCGTACAATCGGCAACCGGCAACCGACTTGACATGACGAACTTCGAATATCTTGTCCCTAAATTGAATTTCATAACTGTAGCTTCGTTACGAGTTATATATATTTGCAAAAAATCCGTGTGATTATGAATCTTGCATTCGTTCGTGTTACAGAATATTCATAATTATTTGCAATCTTTTGGTTGACATCCCGCTCAGCCTACCATTTTAAGGATCCGAGATGGAATTCGAGCAAGAAACTCTCGGGAATTTTTTACGAGCGTTCTATCTAGATATATCGGGCCCTATCTCTCAATACCCGATTGCCCCCATTATGTGGCCTGGCCGAACCAGCGATAGGTATAAAATAAAAGGCCCGCTTAGTGTCCACAGAATCTTATGGCAGAAACAGTTAAAAGTGAAAAAGAAAATTTGTCTTTGTCATTTCTAATATTATATTCATCACTTTATTATTAATATTAGATAAAAACTATACATAAATCCTACATATTTATTTTTAAAATAAATATAACTAAGTTTACATCTGATAATAATCGACCGTACTCTTTACAATCCTCATTTTTGCGACTCGTGTAAATATTCTAATGTATAAAATTAATTTCTATTAGCCATTTTGTGTAGTATTATATAATTTTAACTATATTATACTACAGAGGAACTGTATTTACAGGAAGGTATTATTAATTTATCACGTTAAACTTAAGAAAAATACACGACTCGCTTTACGACGGATCGTAAAGCAGCCGCTACTGTACTTAAATTATCTTATTAATAAATATAAAATATTTAAAAATTAATTCTTTTACGTTAAAATCGGGAATTTTTTTCAAATTTTCGTTTAGAGAAAGTACGATTTTATCAGTTTAAAGTGAGTTTCATGCCAACAAAAATGCGCGTTAAGCACTTTCTTTGTTTCCCGTTAACACAGAGTTCGTTATTTATTTTGTTATTTTGTTTTTATTTTAGGATCTTGGCACACGCATAACCGATATTTAAGATAATTAGCAAATATAGATTCTTAAGTACTGAAAAAAAAAGAGTTTGAAAGAGAATACTTTCAACTTTTACAATGTTTGTTGATCAGTTTTCACAGAACAATTTACATTATCCTTTCGTACACTGTTAAATGTTTTTAAACGCATTTTTTAAATAAAAAGCACATTTGTATGTTTTTTATGTTATTCACTTGTATTATTAGCTTACCAATGGCCGAATGGATAAAAAAAAAATGCTAATCGTGGGTTCGCGCCTCATCAACGGATTGAACACGTGGAGTTTTTTCCAACTTTCTTCACGTTTGTAACAGTGGCCAATAACTAAATAAGTGCCAGTTTCCCATAAAAGACTGCCCTTCTCGATGCCCACCAGTGGCCAAGCGGTCTTCTTACCCCGAAAACTGGGAGTTCGGTTGTGGGTTCGCGCCATGCCCGGACGGGCTGGCCACGTGGAATTTTCCGGGTTTTCTCCACATCTGTAACGCCTAAATAGGGGCACTTAAAAAGACCTCCCGGAAGGTACCACCCTAGGCTGATCGCCCAAGTATTGCGTTGCCACAAATCAAACCAAAACCTACCCTTCTCGGCATCTCGCGCATGTATCGCTTTGCCGTATACGAATAAAATAAAACCAAATCTAAATCCAGTTTCCCATAGAAAATGGAAGAAACCCATCTTGGCATATAGCCTTTGCTTTCCTTTATCCCATTAATCAAACCCATTTTATTAATTAAAACAGTATTGCACAAGAGTATGATAGATGCAGGACCAGTCATAAATACGAACTGAAAAAGATAGATATAGACAGGACCGCATAGGCATACCCGACCATAAATGAAAATCTTCCGTTTTTAGTGGCCTCATTGCACTAATTTTTGTTTCCTCGTATCTGTATCTGTATTCGGTAATAACTGTAAAGAAATTGAACTGGAGGCACCAAAAGTACTTAAGATATCTCCGAATATGAAGAGGAATCAAATATTTGACACATATTTTGATATTGATAAAATATGACTCCGCGACTTCATATTCGATTATGTTACGATGTATGTTTATGGTGGAAATAATCTGAAATGGCCATGAATAGCATTCAGTTTCCTTTTTTGGTTTATCACCCACTTTATAATTTAATTTTCATACTAAAAATACTGGAATAAAAATGGCAGAATCTAATCTGAGAAGGAATAAACAGAGTTGTTATTGGATGCTTCTAAGCTACCACCCTAAAGGCAGTGACTTTAATTGAAAACAACTCACTCAAATTTAATATTATATTAATGAATTCAAAAATAACACATTGAGAAGTTTATTGACACGTTGTAACGCAACAAAGCAGACATAAAGAGCTTGTATTTTTTTTTTTTTAGCAAACCCATTATGGGTTCGGCCGGGTCAACAAACCAATGTCCAGTGGTTTTATCCACTCGGCCACTGATGAACCACATATAAAAGGGAATAGATTTCAGAAATGGCTTTGTATTTGGAAAAAAAATAAATATTAGTAGGACCTCTGAGAAGTCAAGAGAAGGGCACGAATCTTTTTGAGGCCCCGGTTATATTATACAAACAATAACAGCACGAAAATTCTTAAATTCTATTCGACTAAACAGAGATTTTTCTCTCAATTAATACACAAGAAGTAAAGTTAAAAGTTAGTAACAAATGAGGCCCCACATATATGATGCCCCCGAGTAACAGAACCAGAAATTACTGTAATTTCAAAATTTCATCTTTATTAGGAAACAAATTTTAAGGATTTCTAAATTACAAAGGAAGGAAGTGAAACTTTAAATATTTATACTGACCTGAAAGTAAATATTTTTCTGTTTTCTCAAGCAAATTTTATGAATAAGAAAGACTTAAACACCAGAATCACTTTGAAAATATCATTTCACGGGGCAAATTTCTGTCCAAATATCCAACGTTATGCCGATAACTGCCGATCAGTTTTAGTTAAGATATGAAAGTTCAAAGTTTAAAGTTCGACTAGATGTTATTGCGATAACTGCTGTGTTAATGGCATTATTCATCGATATTAATTCATTTTATACAAACAAATTAATTGAAATCTCTAATATATAATTATGTAAATTAGAAATTTTGTAGTTTAATTAATTTTTACAAACTTTTGAAACTCTGGCTTTGTATATCTTAGTTTTGGCCAAATTTTATTATTTATAAAATACAGTAAAACCTGTCTAAAACGGAAACCGGTACTGTGTGATTCCGGTTTACACAGGTTTCACTTTACAGTATATTTTTTGCTTTTTTTTTTAATATGCTGGGCCTTTAAAAGGTTAAGAGGCCAAAATCTTGGGCATTGAAATGCTCTGATTGGTCTAATAAATTCTTATGTTTGATAACACCCCCCGGATTATTTTTGGAAGCGAATTCAGAATTAGGATCTTTACAGTTTTCTGTTGTTGAGGATCGAAATCAGAGCCAGATATAAGCTGAACAAACAGAGCCTCACTTCGAAAGGCCTCTTTCTATTCTCAAATACAGTTTATACATATTGCTCATTATCATTTGGTGTAGGAGAAAGGATCCCCTTTTGCTTGTAGCGCAAAGCCACAATTCTAAATCTATAAATTTTTGTTTATAGTTTTCGATTTTTCTGGTATATTTTATCAGAAAGTATATTAAATATTAATATTTACTTTATATAATTTAAGAATCTATACCCAAATCTGACGTTAAACTTGATACCACGGATTCAATAAAGCAATTTTGCTCTTGGAGGAATATGCGTGACAATGGACATCCATAATTTATTATAACTCGAGCCATACCTTCTCTTCCTGCCCTACGAGGCATTTTAGTGCCAACAGGGCAAGGTGGACCCATGTGGCACTAGAATATCATCGCAGGTTCTTCTTGCCCCTGATGACACGAGAATCCTAGGGTAAGAATTCCCTGTGATAATCTCAAAGAGTAAGAAGTGCCCATGATGGATTCTAAGGATTCTAAGAACCCATCACAGGTTCCGAAATGTCCATTAGATTTGATTGATGGAATAAAACAATGGCAACACTTAAGCGATCTGCCAAAATAAAGGTGGGAGGAGGAAATCTCTTGAGAGGAAACTGGTCCCTATTTAAGTGTTAGATACACCAAGAAAACTCAGAAAAATCCGAATGGTCAGGCGCGAAACCGCAACGATCAGTGTTACTGGTTTTATTCGTTCGTCCACTGGTGGATGGCAATAAGAGGACATTTTTTTTTTTNATCGAACAGCAAAAAGAACTGCCACCTATCATCGACTTCTCACACTGAAAATTCTCCAAAAATCCGCCCAATATTGTAAAAAAAAAATACTTTAAAATTGGGGGGGGGTCGACTGTATTATATAATCGAAGCTTAAAATTTTTCATTTAACTTAGAATTTTAGACAAGTATTTTTAATATAATAAAAAAAAGTACGGTAGTCTAAATAATAAAATATTGCAAGTTTTAAAAATTTTGTAATAAATTATTATTTTTATGTGTGTTAATAATAAATTATAAATTTTTAAAGAATCTGTTGAATTATAAGTTAGCTAATTTCTTTAACAAATACTTTATATTTAATTTGAAAATCTCAAAATAGTCGTAATTTTAAATATAACTACATAACCGCAATTATAAGCGTATACTTCTTT